TTCTGGAGTGAAGAAACTTAGACAAGAATCCTATCTGAATTCAGCAGTGACATTAGGGTTTACATTGAGCAAAGGGTCAATCTGTTGATCTGTGATAATTTACTAGGGTCACAGATTGTCATGGCTTGGTGACATTGAGAGATGAGTCATTATGATTTTTCTGGATGATGACCAGTGGTGAAATCCACAAGGCTCAGACTAGACAACCCAAATGAAACAGTTGTTTTCCAGTGTATTCTTATACCTTACACACAGGTAGAATAAAGTATAGGGCGTATTTGGAAGCTCAGAAAGGCACAAAGATAATTTCTCTGCCATTCTGAATGACTGCCATCTTCTTGAATGCTGTGACAATTTTCTATTCTAAACACTTAGTTCACTAAACATTCATACTACATTCCTTAAGGGGTTTTGTTTTTGAGGGCTTTCTTTTCTTTATTTTTCTTCAGAGTAGATAGTAGCACGCTGTTGTTAAAACACTTGAACCCCTGCTGTTAAAATTGTTGAGTTCTGTTCAGAGGAGTGAAAAAATGTTCTGCCATTTGTTCCCAGGTACTGAGACTGCTGCGGAAATGTACAAATAAGTGCTGTAATGTGTGTAGAGAATAGTTCTTTGTAGGGTTTAAGGCAGTGCAGAAGCGGGGTGTCTCACCTCTTTCCTTGTGGGAGGTTGAACTGCTTGTTTCCCCTGCTGGGACTCCCATCCCTCAAAAATTCTTATGTACTAACACATGGATCACTAGAGGTTTGTTTTTTTTTTTAATTTGCTTTATTTATTTTTCCCCCAAAACAACTCAAAGTTTGCATTGTCAATGACAAGGTAACTCCCAAGGTTGCTAGATCAGACTTCTGAGAAGAGTTTAAAGTGCTTTAATCTATCATTTAATTAATATGGATATTCTGAATGATCAGTGTTCAAAGTGTTTCATTTTTATTTCAGAGAAGTAAACCTCTTTCTTGACTTTTTACTTTGTTACATTTTGAAAGCAAGTTCTTCTCTGTACCAAAATAAACTTAACTAATGTCATAATTTTTTATCAATTCATGTTACCTAGATGATTTGATACTCTGAGTTTATTGGAGCCAGGGATGGATGATCTGTTCTAAGCGGACTGTACACATTCACACATGCCCACTCACTGGAACACATTCACTGTTTACTGCACAATCTTTTAAGATTGTTATTTTCCATCTGGTTCATGCTCCCCCACTACCAACTACCATTACTAAATTTTTTTAACGAAATAATCCTCTTGTGGGTAACGTCTCATTTTGCACATCCAAAGATATTCCCCGTATCTTTACAATAACGTTTTTTTTTCTCTCAGTCATCATATGTCTATTAGGCACCTAGTACTTGCCAACAGTTCTGATAAGCCTTAATGTTACAAATTCAAAACAAACAAAATCTGTGCTTCCAATAAGTTAACAATGTGGAGTATAAAGTCACAAATGCCAATGGACCACTACTGTGTGCTGCATGCTGTGGTGACTGTATTCTATGTGTTCTACAAGGGGTCAATGATTATGTTCTCATTTGCATAGTTTATAGGGCTAGGCCCTATACAAATTTCATATCTCTGGGTACATTTTAAAGAAAATAAGATATATAATACCACTGTAATATATTATAAATATTACATAGAATGAAATTTTGGTGCTATATTGCTGATGAGTTTCTGCTCTAATTGATTGGATTGAATTGAAATCAGAAGTTCAAAGACCAAGGTTACAGAGCTACTTTACTCCACTTATATCAGTCACAAGTACCTACTGTCTCAACAGACAGATACACAAATCAGAAATGAGTTTCCAGGTGTTGGTAGAAAATGTGATCACTTTTTATATCTTTGGAGGCCTAAGAGTTGGGTAGAGGACTTGATTCTAAATGTCAGTTCCAAGAAGGGATTATATACAGTCTTTTTAAAGTGCTTATGTTGGTTCAAATCCCCATGAATATGACCTATTCATGAGTGAAAGAAATCCTCTTTGAGCATTTCTTACAATGCTGCTTTTCCACTTAAGGATTACCCATCCGTTTTTATCTTCGTTGCTTATTGCATATCGAGATTGCCCTTCTCTGTGATTTACTTTTTTCCAAATGCTCTTATTTTAAAGACCTAAGGATGAGACTGCAGATGAGAATTGAATTGATATTGAAACTACAAAAAAAAAAAAAAACACCCCAGGTTTTATTGTAACTCTAAAAGCACATTTTAAACCCTGGAACACATTAAGAATAAAAGTTCAAACTCACACTTGTCAAGGCATTTATAGTTAACTATCATCTATTGTTAATGTTTCCTAATTTGCCATTACTTTCTAACAGTTGTGTGTTAATAAGAGAGGCCTAAATCTTTTATCATGTGTCTCCTTACTGGGTTTTATGACCTACCTCCAAAGATGAGGCCGCTGGAACTCCTGCTCAGACAGACAGAAAGGCAGCACATAGCTCAGGAAATTGGTGCTGATCTGGACATCAAAAATCCCCTCTCCTCATTTTGGCCTTTTTCTCTTTAAAGACATAGGCTGGCTTAATCGTAGAGATAGAGAATAATAACAAGAAAAAATTTAAGAGGAAGTTTTAAACTTTTCTTCCCCCAAAAGCTACTTTGAAGAAAAAGTTTCTTTCCCATTCCTATTCCAGAATAATTTTTCTTCAGTTGCCTTTTAAACACAGGTTCTTCATGTCTCAAAAACACACTTTAGCATGATGGTTTAGATGAACGACTTGGTAGATGGTGTTTGTGGTCACTGTGCATAGGATGAAATTTTGGTGCTGTGTTGCTGATCAGTTTCTGCTGTAATTGATTGGACTGAATTGAAATCAGAAGTTCAAAGACGACGGTTACAGGTTCAAAGAACCACCAGACAGCATTACTAAAACAATGGTCAGAATGAGTCACTGCAAATTGTGTCCACTGAATCTTCTGGTCAGTACAGTTCTCCACAATCATACCGGTCCATTTCAGAAGCAAATTTTCTACTCTTGTCAAAAAGAATTTGCCTCCTGAAGTCCAGCCCACTTTGGGGAGTGGAGCCATAGTCCCACATAGTAAGACTGTGGCCTTGCGTGCTTTGCTTACTTTATCCATACATTTCTCATCCAGGAGCTTCTCAAAACGAGTGGCTGGATCATGGTAAGATGTTAGTATTCCTGGATACATTCTAGTATCTTATCCGCATAATAAGGTTTCTCATCAAAACCTCAGTGTGTCTGTCTCTGGAAAACCGTATATAATTACTTTAGGGCTGAAGACGTATAAATAAAGCCATAATAATCATGCTTTGTTTGCATTGCGTCTTTTCATTTACAAAACATTTCACCACACGTTTTAAAATTGGTCCTCCCAATCATTTCATTAGCTAACTAGGGATGTATTATTTATATCCATTTTCCAGATGACACTAGAGGTGTGACAAGTATAAGGTCATGAAACTTGTAAGCAGAAGAGCCAACACCGGCACCTAGTAAAGAGGTTACTTTACAATACAGACTGAATCTAACAAACAGCCCCATGAAGACGGGTGGGCAGTTCGTATCAAATTCCTTTTTAGTCTCCCCTAAAATCTGCATCAGTAGCCATTGTAAATGAGTGTTGATGAAATGAAGAAGCTGTGCTTCATCTCATTTTCCTGAGTCTGGGAGAAGCTTCTTTTTATGGTGGGACTGTGAAACATGCAGCCCCTGAACAAATACTTGAATGCTATTGATTTAGAGATAAAGGAGACAAGAAAAGGACCTTGTAGAGGATGAGAGAGGAAGATGCTTGTATAACATTTTACACAGAATACAAAGTAAGCCAAAAAAACCCCAAATAACCCAAAGAACCTTAGAGGAGAAAGAAAGGAAAAAAAGAAGAGTAATACTAGGCACACGTTTATCCCATCAGAATTGTAGTGTGATTAGTGCACAGATATAGTCCCATCTTCACTCTGGGCTTGTTTCCACAGAGTGTAGGGTCATCAGGATGATCAGGACGAATAAACATCACATTCTACATCGCACAGCCCAGTAAGCCTCTGTGGCATCAGGTAGCAGGAACTAAGTGAGGTTCTATCAACCTCTGGGGAAGAATATGCGCAGGGAGGGAGGAATAACAACAAGGGCCAGAAAATTACTTGGTAGTCTCTTATCTAGATGAAACCTTGCTACACAGAGGATGCAGTGTCTTGAGGGAGCTTTGAGCCTCTGTTAACACTTAGACTTCTCTGCCCATGATTCTTGCTGGCTTGGTCAGCACTGGATTCCTAGGATAGAGCATCCCTTAGATTTGAGTCAGCATCCTGGAGGGAGAAAGGATACTAATAGATGTTGCTGCTTCCTACACTTTGGCTCTAAAGAGAACAAAAAGTAGTGCTTTAGAATAATAATTTAAAAAGTAATCTTTTTTTCTGATGGTTTTTGTTATTCTCCTCAAAACAGGCAGATTATAAAAATATATTCAGAAAAATTTCAGCTAAGTTTGTATGTTAGCTGCAAAATGACTGATAAGGAAAACGAGGCATGTTTGAAATTTTTTTTTGAAATTGACTTAATTAAGAGCAGCTATCGCAGCACCTCCCCAAAGCTCCTAGATGCCAAGGGTGGCAATGCTGAATTGAGCTGGATGGCATCTTTGATTGATAAAAGGAGAATGGGTAGAAAGCTAAGAAGACAAAAGAAAAAAAGGGAAGAAAATATATATTCACTGAGCATAATATGCAGTGGGTTCCAGTGTTGTGCTGTAGCCAGCTACTACTGGCTCACCTGAAAGAGCTCATTGTTAAATTTTTAAGAATTTTTCAAAGCAGTTGTTAGAAACATCCATTATTAAAAATTAAATTGTGAAAACCTTCACTTAACTAAAAATTAAAAGCAAAATTAAAACACTCAAAGCTCAATCACTTCCAAATTATTTTTCATTTTACTATTATTTATGTTCTCGAGGTTATCCATACCTATTGTATCTGTGGTGGAAATCCTGTATAACAGTGCACTATTACACATATCTTTTCAGCCCTGTATTTAGTGACATCATATTGGCGGCTCAAATTACCCATGGCTGGCAAATGCTACAAATCAGGTATTGATTTATTGTTTTGTTGATTGTCTAATGTTGAGAAATGTTAATGATGAAAATTAAAATGGAAAGTGTGTCATGCAGTTACATTATGAAGAATATAAAATTAAGGAAATATTCATTTATCATTTGAAAACTATTATCTGATTCAGCAAAGATGTGATGCACATCATTCATGAGCAAATAAGCTTCTGACACACATCTTAGTTGTTTCACTTTCCTCCTAACTTGTTATAGTAAACAAAAATATCAACCAGCTTTGATGTCGCATATCAGATTTAATGATGAGGCATTTATTGGGAAAAGAGATGGCAGATTGGGATCTGACTCTTTTTGCCAAATCCTGGTTGAATTGAAGCCATAATTTGTCTATCACTACCAGAGTTTGGAAAATATCAGTGGAAGCATTGGTAGAACCAATTGGTTATGTAGAATTTACAATAATAAGTACTGTGTATTTTACCATTAATTGCTAATTGTGTGCTACACATTCATGTCAATAACATTTATAATAAACTTATATATGTACTTTTTTCTTCAGAGAGCCTGTTGTTTATTTGTCAGCATACTACTGATAATTATTAAAATTTTCTCTTATTCCCTTATTTAATTCTGTAACAATTCCTTGAAGTAGGTATTATCCATATTTGTAGCTATGGAAAATGAGGCCCAGAAGAGTTTGGAAATACCAATGTCACATAGCTGTCAGAGAATATAGTTGGGTTGGGGTCTCAGGTATATTCTGGCCAGGGCCTGGCCTTTTGTACTGACACCACTCTGACACTGACATTTACTAGTTAAAGACCTCAGTTGTCACTTGTGCTACATTCTGGCCTCAGCATCCTCTTCCATGAAAGGAGAATGACACTATCTATTCATTCCTCCTCAGAATTGTTGTGAGGATCAAATGTGAAAATAATTTGTAAACTTAAGGTGCTAAAATCTTACCTAATTATTTACTTAAGAGCTAGACATTTAAGATAGCCTTTTGCTTGCAGAGCTTTACTATTTCGAGTCTGACTCAGGCTCCTTGAAAATTAACTTTTCCATATACTACCTGAAAAACAGAACATGCACTTCATTTTCTTTGGGAAATACTTTCTGTTATAAATTTCTAGATATTTTCCTGTTCTGGGCTTCTTTGCAAGTCTCCAACATCTTTTCTGTAAATTTGAGCACTGTTCATTTTTTACAGTAATAGATGGATGGTTTCTTAAAGTGTTTGGCAGCTCTGTATGCCCACGTTTTTATCAGCCTAGAGCATCCCTGAGGGTAGTGTGTGACCAGAGGATCTGGAGAAGCAGCCAAAAGCTAAAACCAATGCATAAGTGAAAAGAAAGAAAAACAAGTTATTTCTTTGAAAAGCAATCAAGTTGTTTGCATTAGAGTATTGTTACTTATAACCTTGGCTAATTTAAAGTTATTGGAGAATGTAAGTACATTTTAATACCCTCTGATACCTCAGTATTAGATTGAGGTATGGATAATAGATAATTTTGCCCTGTGTCTGTCTCCCAATGCCAAAGCACTTCCAGGTGATGTCATTTTCTATTGCAATTCTGAGTGTTTACAGGCCTTGATTCTGTTAGGTAATTATAAAATCTACCATGGCAGTAAGGCTCACTGCATGACCTAATGCCATGATATAGAATTAATCGAACCTAAATGAAAAGGTCATTAGAGAGTTAAATTATTTCAGTGATACCAGAGTAACACCACATAAACAAGAATTATCCTCCATTCTGATATAATAGATTCTGAAATTTAGTCATTAGCTTCACCTCACTAAGCCTATTTAATTACTGATGTGGTTAATTACTTAAGCCCATTGACCACTGTTTAGTATTCTGTTACTTATATTTTTGGCTCTTTGAAAAAAATGGTATGTCACATTCTTAACTTATCGTTATGCTTCACCTTAATTACTTCCTATGAGCTAACAGAGATGATCTAATAAAACACTAACAGTACAGGGCATGACCATTTCTTAAAAAAAAAAAAACACTAACAGTTATTTATTAAACTTTTACTATATAGGGGATTGTGCATAGGTATAAAGGGAAATTGTTCTTTTCATGGTAAAATAAGTGAATTTCCTAACACATTAGAATGGTTTTTAGTTTCTTAGGGGAGCTTTAATGGCCTCCTTTGCCATTGTCCCTGACCAGAACAGAGCAGATTAAGAATCTGTGTAGAAGTGTGCTTTAAGGAATTCTGGATGATTTGAGGCAGAGAAATGGTGCAGTGTCACTTAACAACTGAATGTCCATTTTCTCTGGCAGGTTAATGTAGTTTGCTGATGTAAATGTGTAGTAGTCAGGGTAGGCTAGATTATGTTGCACTAACATACATTCCCAGTATCTCATTGACAACAAAGATTTATTTCTTGCTTATGCCACATGTCCCCTGTGAGTTAGCTCAGTCTTACATCCTCTCTGTTAGGGGCTAAGGCTGACAGAGGTGTCATCTTAATTTCCATAACCATCAGGGTAGGGGGAAGAGCACGTAGTGAATTACACACATATTTCCCCCAGAATTACAATCTTACCACGTGCCCCAAAGAAACAGGACCAGAATATTCATGTCCAGCAATAATGACTATCACACACCACCACTAAGGACTTCAGTGGAGGGAGCAAGAAATGGAGCAAGTCTCAAGAAACTCTGTTGTAGTTCTTCTTGCTCTGTATGGTCACGTCACTCCAGCTAAAATTCTATAACCTTTGAGCAGTACTAGATGAATTCAACTGAGCATTTTGGGTTACCTGTGTGCTCTTTTTTTTTCTGTGTAATCTGTAATCTTTCAGAGACGCTTCAGTCCTCCTTTTACAATCTCACTGCATCCTGATGTTCTCATATAGAATTGATCAAAAGCAAAGATTTAATTATTTGAATAATTATTTGCCTATGTACAATGAGGGAAGAAACTGTAATCACTGCTTTTCCAAAGCATCTCACTCAGTGCCAAGGTCAGAGTGTTGCAAAATAAATGTAGGTTGTGTGAACAAATGAATGAACGAGAAGATAGAAATTCCAGCCAATTTGAAGGGGGGTGTCAGCTGGAAATATTTAATATCTATTTCTATTTCAGTTCTTATCTTTATCATTTCTTCATTCTACATCCTTTGTGCTTAATTTATTCATTTTCATGTTTTTTCATTTTCTTAAATGAAAGCTTAGTTCTATTTACACCTTTCTTTTTTAATATAAGCACGTAAGCATTTAAAGTTATATGTTTCCCTTTAATCAGTACTCTTTCTGTGCTCCACAAATTTAGATATGTTGTATTTTAATTATTATTGAGTTCAAAATATTTTCTAGTTTCTGCTGTAATACATTTTTTGATCCACATGTTATTTAGAAGTGATTATTTAATATGCAAATATTTGAGGGTTTTTTGGGTATATCATTGCAAATGAAGATAATTTAATATCATTTCATAATTAATGAAGACTTACCTTCTGGTTGAGCATATGGTATCTTTGTGAATATTCCTTGTGCACTTGAAATAGATGTGTATTTTTTGCTATTGTGTTCTGTAATTTGCAATTAGTCAAGTTGATTGACAGTGTTGTTCATATCTTTTATCTCTTTACTGACTTTTTTCTACTTGTTTTATCAATTTATGAGATATAGGCGTTGAAGTCTCCAAATATCACTGTTTCTTTCCTAGTTCTGATTTTAATATTTGTTCATAAAATTTTAAAAATTATTTATTACATTGTTAATTGCAAAATGGTGAATTTGTCCATTTCTTTTATTCTGTAAGGAAGTTCTCTCTCTCACACATAGCCTCTTGTCTTTCTTAAAAAGTGTCTTTCTGGTTGTATTGATTCATTTTTTTGGTCAATGTATTATAAGCCATTATGATTATTATATTTTAATTTTTAATTTGTCCTAAATATCACCAGGAAAGTCCTTTCAGGTAATCTCTGTACCCTTTTAATGTATCCCTTTTAGTATATGAACACATCTTTGATTTCTGATGCAACAAAATATTTCGGGCTCACCTTTTACTTTCCCAGTCCCAAACCTCATATCTTTTAGTTGGAAGTGACATTTAAAAACCAACATCTGGGGGCTTCCCTGGTGGCACAGTAGTTAAGAACCTGTCTGCCAATGCAGGGGACCAAGGTTTGAGCCCTGGTCCGGGAAGATCCCACATGCCGTGGAGCAACTAAGCCCGTGTGCCACAACTCCTGAGCCTGCGCTCTAGAGCCCGCGAGCCACAACTACTGAGCCTGTGTGCCACAACTACTGAAGCCCACGCATCTAGAGCCCGTGCTCTGCAACAAGAGAAGCCACCACAGTAAGAAGCCTGTGCACCGCAACGAAGAGTAGCTCCCACTTGCCGCAACTAGAGAAAGCTCATGTGCATCAAGGAAGACCCAACGCAGCCAAAAATAAATAAATAAAAAAATAAAAAAAGATATTAGTGATATCAAACTTAGCAATACCATTATAAGAAAGGAAATTTAGAGAGCAGTATACCTTATAAACAAAGACACAACATTTGTTAACTAAGAATATCAAATCAATCTAGCAATAATAACAAAAGATAACGAATTTATACTATGACAAATTCAGTTTTATCTCAAGAAATTAAGGTTAATTTATTATGCAAAACTAAGTCAATCTAATGGAATACTAAATAATTAAAAAAGAACAAACTATTGCTATGTACAGCAGCATGGATGAATCACAAATTCATTGTGCTAAATTAAGGAACCCAATATTAAAATGTTATACCACATAATTTCATTCATTTGGCATTTTGGAAAAGGCGATAATATAGGAGGACAGAACAGATGAGTGGTTTCCAGGAGTTTGATTGGGAATATGTTGTGAATACAAATGAAATGAATGAGATAATTCTTTGGGATATAGGAATATTTCTGTATCCTACTCTGGTTGTAGTTATGAGAATACATGCACATGTAAAAACTTACTGAACTTTACACCAAAAAATGTGACCTTTGCTCTATGTAAATTAAAACAAATCCAAAAACAATTTTATTTTTTATATTAATAGAAAAAAGCAGATAAACTGTCATCTTAATAAAATTCAGACAATACTTTTGACAAAAGTCAATATCCCTTTATGATAAAATGTCCTAGCAAATTAGGAGTAGAAAAAAATTTTCTTACTATGACAAAGGGTATTTGCAACAAACCTAGAGTTAACATTATACTGACTCATGAAATAATGAATACTTTCGCCCTAAGATTAGAGAATAAATACACCCACTCTCACTATGTCTGTTCAATGCTGTATTGGGCAACAAGGCTAAAAAACCTCTCCCAATTCCAGAATATGTTTTCATATTTCAGTATCTACAGAGGAGAAAGGCCCACTAGAAGGATATTGGAATGGAGACCTAGTACCCAACAGAGGTAGGTACCATTATTATTTACATTTTGCAAATACCGAGTCTTAGAAATGCTATTTAGTTTGTTGTTAAGGCTGAAAATTGAACACTAAATTTTATGTTTCTAACCACTAAGCTGTACTTAATAAGTTACACTCAATTTCTCTTTGCATCTTGTTACTTCACCTCAACATTTTGTATAATCTTTGGTCCAAGGTCTATGATCCAGAGAATAATGACATCGGAAGTCTTGTTTGGAATATTTGAGAAAACTTTCGCCATCTGAGGCTTACTGTTTTTTTTAATCCAAACATTTTTAGCTACTCATTTTTAATTAAATGGAACATAATTATATGATTAGACTCAGATGAGTTACAGGGAAATTTACCAATGTATTTGAAACTAAAAGATAATTGGAAAGTCTATCTGTGATGCCCAAAATTTTAAGAAATACATATTTTAGTTTTATCAGTGGCTTTGCACTGAAAATTATTCTGGGCCTGCAAAGGCAAAGCTCATTCTGGAGAACCATATTGCAGAATTTCATGACACGTTCTGAGTTCATATGGCAAATTAATAAAGGACATCATTCTGGGTCCCTTCATGGTATGTTTTGCGTTTTACTTTACAAGTTACTTAGAAATTCATTCTTCTATCTTGGCATGAGATTAGTTCAGCCTCCTAAAGGCTATCAGCATTGTCTTTGAGTGACAGGCTCTATATTGGAAGTTAAGACTTCTTAGTTTTAATTTGTATTTCAGAGTACTAGTTTGTAGGTGGGAGAAGCCAAAGTCCCTTCCAGAACCCATTCTACCTTGTTGGAGATAGTTTCTGGACACTGCAGTGCTTGAATGGTGCTTGTGTTCACTGCCAGCTTTTATGGAGGATCTTTATTTCCTTCTGACCCATTTAAGCCTGTTAGGTGATGAGAGGAAAATGAAGGAAGCTCTTCCTTCATTAGGTACTGCTATTATGTACATTATGTACTTCTATTATGTACTGCTTCCTCACTGTCACCTTTACTGGGTCCCAGAAGGGAGAGTATAAAATCCCAAAGGAGAGTGTTAAATCACAGGTAGAGATTAGTATATTCAAAGAATGAGTTTCCTGCTGGTATCCTGTTTTGTTTTACGTTTTGGTTTTTAGAACAGAGTTCCACTTAGTTTTTTAAGAGAATTATTTTTTCTATGATAAGATTTGGAATTACCCTCAGGCGATTACTTAATTCAGGAACTATCTGCTGAATACCTAAACCAGTGATGGGAAAGGAATTTTGTTGAGAAGGAAAATAGTGCAAGTAAAATATTTATGGCTAGTAAAGTATTAATAATTAAGTTTATAGAATATAAAAATGAGAAATAATATTACAGTACATTTTATTAAGTGGCCTTGTAAAAGAGAAGTGAAGATGAAAGGACATGAGTAATTGTTTATTAATTTGAAAAATAAGTAGGGAGGTGTGGACTTGTGTGGACATTCTGTTTCTTCTATTAAGTTTATTTCTGTCAATAGGCATAGTTGTTTTCATTTTTTAAATATCGTATTAGCAGAAATCAGTGTATAGAGAGAGCAGATAGCAGTGAGCCAGAAAGTTACCAAAAATATGTAGGAAGTATAATGATTAAAAAAAAATACCAGATGGAATGGATCACCAATGATATGTTGTCAGATGCCAATATAGCCAAATGTCTTCAGAAGATAACTGACCAGGTAGGCTTCATCTCCTATCTCCTAGAATACTAATACCCTCATGGTCCCACCAAATGCAACAGGAGGCCAAACAGTCAAGAAAGCAAATCATAAACTATGGAAGCTTAATAAATTAGTAAAATAGATGTTAAAGGATGTATATGTGATAAGAACTAGGGTCATGTGAGGAATTAGAAATGTGGAAGGTTAGAGAGAAAAAAAGGAAAATCTGTCTATATATCTTATTAATTTACTGATTTCTGTATAAGCCAAACTTTTCCCTGTGTTTTTGAGTTAAAGTAGGCTATAGTTAATTAAACTGAAACTTGTATAGGGTTTAAGATTGACTTACAAAACATTTTATTTCTCATTAAAAACTCCAATCAATTAGTAATGGCTACTTCAATTGCTCTATGGGGTTGTATCGTGAAGCCGTATTCAAGTTCTGTGAGAGTGTCATAATCAATTACTTATGTCTACAGTGATCATGAGAATGTCTGCAGTGATTATGACTTCTTACCCTGAATGAGACCTTTCAAAACGGATGGCTCTTATGTAAACCAGGGCTCAAATCAGACTAGGATTGAAAATTTGTCAGACTATTAATGTCAAGCAGATATGGAGTTTGATGAGGAATAGATGGCCAGTGACTGTATGTTCTAGAGACCGACTAGAGCCTAAATATAAAAGACAGTTTAAACCCAGACATGAAGAAGAAACTGGACTCACATTACATCACATGATTCTTGGCTTGGAATCAAAGATTTGAGGAGAAAGATTCAGCCAATAGACTTCAGAATGTTCTTGGTTAAGGAAGGCTGAGATTGGCTGATAGGTTTTGTTTTCTTGAGTGATCCCTGGCTTATGGATAGTGCTTTTACATCTTTCTTGGACTTTGGAATATAATCCATAAGGATTCCATATGCTTAGGGTATATCATTGAATATGTTCACTTGGGTTCTGATAATATATAGTACATCCCAGCCTTAAGAGAACTGGTTGGCAGTTCTTGGGGAGATAACAATTCCTGTAACGGTTTGTTTGCTTTTTTAAAGATAGGCTTGTAGGAAAAACAGGCACAGTAATAGAATGCTTAAGAATATTGGACAAAGTTGGATGCATTTTGAGTGTATGTAGACCAAATTCAGTGATTCAATAGGAACTTCTGTCTCTGAGGCTATAATGGATTTAGAAAACCAAAAGACACATCAGTGAGAAGAATGATTAACGCAACATTACTCTTAGCAATGTCAGTCAGAATCCAAGATCCTAGCTATCTGCTGGAACAGGTAACTGACAAATTCTAACATACAGACATTGACTTTGCTATTAAAAAGCTAGGAAACCAAGCAGGGTAATTGTGAATGAGGTAGGGACCCAGTTATCAGTGAACTCTAATCAGTGGATTGGTGGCATTGGACTGATAAAGCAATATCATGAGATTCCTTCTACTTCTCTACCAGGGCCTAGTTATAAGGCTAGTTAAAACCTATGGAAGGAAGATATGACCAGGCTTAGAATCAAGGGCTACAATTCTGGATATGAAGAAAAGAATTTGTCAGGTACTTCAAGTTTTATTCAATTTTTGAAGTTCTCTGTGGATGTAATTTTACAGTCTCTTTGTAGGTCTATTCTATTGATTAAGGGAGTGAAAAATAATTTTATAGTTATATATAATAATTGATTGCTCTCCTGGAGATAAAATTCTTCCTACTCTATAGCTGTGAGTGTGGAAAACGGTGTCCTTTTGAGACAATAAAACCAAACCAGGGAATTCCTTGCAGTCCAGTGGTTAGTACTTGGCCCTTTCACTGCTGTGGCCCGGGTTCAATCCCTGGTTGGGGAACTAAGATCCCGCAAGCTGTGAGGAGTGGCCAAAAAATAAAAAATAAACCAAACCAAACCAAATGTACAATTAATTGAAAGCAAGAACTTTCCCTGAGGTCCATGGATCCTTAGGGTTTACGAGTGGAGTTTGAAAAACCACTAAACTGGTGAAGCTATATATATATATATATATATATATATATATATATATATATGTGTGTGTGTGGGTGGTACGCGGGCCTCTCACTGTTGTGGCCTCTCCCGTTGCGGAACACAGGCTCCGGATGCACAGGCTCAGCGGCCATGGCTCACGGGCCCAGCCGCTCCACGGCATGTGGGATCTTCCCAGACCGGGGCACGAACCCGTGTCCCCTGCATCGGCAGGCGGACTCTCAACCACTGCGCCACCAGGGAAGCCCCTATCATATATTTTTTAAAAAATGTTCATTGTAGTATAAAATATTTTATAACATATCATATTGGTGTACAACTTGATGAACTTTCTCAAAGTAAACACATCTCTGAAATCAGTGCCTGGAATAAGAAACATTGTCAGCATCCCTGAAGGCCAGTATCCCTTCCATTCACTAATCCTCTAACAAAGGTAATTGCTGTCCTGACTTCTAACCCCATAGGTTTATTCTAGTATTGATCTAAGTGGAATTCTATAGAAAGTGCTTTATTCATCTGTCTTCTTTCTCTTGACATTTTACTTGTGAAGTTTATTCATGTTATTATTACTAGGTGTAGATTGTTCATTCTCATTACTAAATAATGTCCCACTGTGTGACACTGCCATGATTTACTTATCTATTTACTGCTGATGGGTATTTAGATAGCTTCTAGTTTGGAGCTATTGTAAATAGTATGTCTATGAATGTTTCAGTACATGTCTTTTGATAAATATATTTTGGCATTTCTGTTGTATAAATCTAGTAGTGAAATTTCTGGGTCATAACTGTAGACCCTCTACTTTCATCAGTCTGATTATCTCTCTAATTTCAATGTTCACTCTTCCATCTTTTCAAAATGGCATAGTAAAGTTTATGGTTTGAATCTCTCCACTTTTTTTTGCAACAAAAACATGGAGTAATAGATTAAGCATTGAAAATTAAATTTAAAAAGATATATCAGTGCTCCAAAGAAAGATATTTCCATAAACTAGAAATGAAAACACACACTCATTGTGCATTGTGATAGATAATAATAAAACCACACCAAAATATTATCCTCGAACTAGAAAATATCAAGGATAAAAATGAAATTTTAAGTGCAAGTAGGTTGGAAAAAACAAGTTATTTACACAGCAACTATAATCATAGTCGACTTATCAGCAATGCTAAATACTAGAAGATGAGGAATTGCTATTTGAAAATGCTGTTTAAAAAAGATGAGGAAATGCTGTTTAACACTGAAAACTATCATTCAAAGAAGAGAGGTAAATTAAGGTATTGCCAGGGATACAAAAAGCAAGGAGTCTTTCCTCCTGCAAATACTTCTCAGAAAGAATT